TATGGTCGTCAATCCTAAGACTGGTTGGACACACACCTTTACTCCTTCCTATCTTGAACTAATCTTCGCATTTCCTTAAAACTACAAAACTTTTGGGTGTTTCATTCCCACCAGCCAATACCGCTGGTGGGCAGGCGGTCCCTCCAGACTACGCCGAAAGGTAGGGCGGAAGGCCCTCTTCAGCCTGCTTTCAGGAATCGTGGGAATGGGTGGGTGGTGGTTCGGGTGAGAAAGATGAGACGGACGAAATGAAGACAGAAGAGAATTAAAGATTATCTGTGGAATATTACTGCCCCAGCATTTGCCTAAGTGATCCAACGAAACCACAGAAAAACTTGGACCAAGGCAGACGGACACGGAATCGAACCGGCGTCCTCCCGAATGCCAAGCAATGATCTATACCTCTAGGTCATGCCGCTCAGTCCTAAAACTACAACAATCCACATCCTTAACTATTTGCGAACAGTAATCTAATCTAGGTCTACCACTACCCCTCCTAACTCTTGTTTCTGCCTCTAATATGTCTCTGACTAGACCTTCATGCCTGAGAAGGTATCCTACTAACCTATCTCGCCTATTTCTTATTGACTTCCATAGAGTCCTCTGTTCTCCTATTCTTTCTAATACCTCTTCATTTCGAAACCTTCTCTATCCACGGTATTCCAATTATTCGCCTGTAACACCACAATTCCAGCGCTTCTAACCTTTTCGTTTCTGCCGCGCCCACCGCTTATATTTCGCACCCATACAGCGCCGCAGTCCAAACATACACCTTTAACAACCCTTTTCGAATTTCTCAATTAACTGTTCGCCAGCATAGTGTGACTTCTTTTTATTGAAGTTAACTACTCCTTCCGTCCTGACTTATCTGACTTCCTAGATACTTAAAATCGACCACTTCGTTTTTCGTTTCGTCTCCTATCTTTATATTTGCTCTTACCCCATTTTTTCTTCCCTTGCATACCAGTATTTTGATATGAAATGCCCCTTAGGATAATTAAAAACTTAATAAGTCGTCGTATACTGTGAAGGAACAAAAACCTTCGTTTATAGAAACAAATATCCGTTGCTGAAATTCCCCGACATACTTAATGCTTCCCCAGTCGTATTAACCGGAGGGGTGTTGTATTATTCGTGTACTCACTATAGACAAGTACAATTTTAATAAGTAAAACGTCGTTTTTCAAAATGCAACATCAAAATCCCTCAAAATATAAAAGTGGTTACTCAAAATTTTGTTTTTGCGTTTTCTAAAATTTACAGTAAGTTAATTTCTTTCTGTTCAGAACATTAAATCAAACAATTTTTAAATATCTATTAGTTATTGCCACCCTCGGACTTCATCATTTTGGAACCAGCCTGTCATAGTAAAAATCCACAATAATTAAAACAATTAAAAATATCGCCAGTTCCGTATAATAAAGACATCAAATGACATCCGTATAGTTAGAATTAACCTTGATTTTAATTGTGGATTATAAATATGCATATGTATATAGTATTCTTTTAGATGCGCTCATTAACTATACATGCAAGTAATTTGTACGACCTGTTTTAAAATTCTAACGGTAATTAGTTTTAAATATTGTCCTTTACATAAATCTGTTGCAACAGCTAATTAGATCTACTTAAGCATATCAATTAACATAAATTAAAACGATTGCGTTTTTACTCTTATTACATTTTTAATTGGTATCTGCATGAATCAATTCCTAACAAAAATTCTAATAAGTTGTAATTTGCTGAAAAAATATTCAATATTATGACATCGACATTGGTTACGTAAGCATGTACAGGTACATATTAATGCAAAAAAAAATGATGGAAATTCTTTATTTCCTCTTACGATCATTCTGTAAAATGACTGTCTGTTAAATCATCGAGGAAATAAATGTGATAAATGAAGGTAATAAAATAAAACCGTAAAATACTGCCTGTCATAGAAATTCTTGTAAAAGCTTGTAGATATACGCATTTGTTTTAATCCTACATATAATAAATTATAGACAATGTCTAGTAGATTTTCCAAAATTGTAATAACTGTAAAGATAAAATGATTAAATAAATAAAGGGGTACTTTTACATTAGTAAATGACATAAGATAGGTAAATATCAATATTAGCATTTTTTTATTAAATATTAATGTGAATATTTATTCTCTTTTTTTTACCCGCTATAAACGAGAAAATTTGTTGTCGCCGGGAATCGAACCCAGGAACTTTGGTTACGCAATAATGTTGTAGTGTATGTAAAAAGAAAATTGAGAATTAATTTTCACATTAATATTTGATATTAACCACTCAAAGTGTTTCATATATATCATTTTTTATTGTTTCGACGTTGTAATAAAACTGGTAACATTTCTTTACAATAATTCAACTGTGTTGACCATTGAATCCTTTTTCTGACTACGAGAAAGTTAAATGAAAAGAATTGAATAAAATTGCTTAGTATAATGTGTAGGGTCTTTGAAGCTGGAAGCCCTACACCTTTCCGCTTTTAAGATTTAAAGCCCTTTATGTAAGATGTAGGATTAGATAGACCATAAAAGGATATAATTTAATTTTATTAGAGTAATTGCCTTTAAACTGATAAGTAGTCATACAAAAACAAGTACCCGAATATATAAAAGTATTGCGAAGATTTTCATTATTTAAGACAAGGTAAACAACGATTACATGCTACTGAATCGTTACATGCATTACGTGCATGGAGGAGGAAAATATGAATTTTGTTTGTAAATGAAGGTTGTTTCTGTTAAGTGAATATTGATGTTGAAGATAATCCTGTCTAGAAGTGATAGGCAGTCAAGGTGAAAAAAAGCAAAATAAATATTCATTAATATTAACAAAAAGTCTTAAAAGTTATGAAAGATGTCTTGTACAACAACTGCAGGAACATAAAAATATTTTTATTTAAGAATCAATCAAAGAATATTAATTACAGCTAAAAAGATATTTGGCGACAAGGTTGAGCAAATCAGTTTGCTGAATAAGAATTTTTAGGAATATTTTCATACCGTCCACGGAGAGAAGATTTATAACTTCTGAGAAAATTTACGAACAGATGGAAAATAACAAGTAAAATTAATGAACACTGTTTTAATGCGTAGATTGTTTATTTGTCTGGTAAATAAACACAATTTTTCATGGAACGCTTTTAGGGCAAATCAAAACCAAAAATTTCTCAATTTGTACATTAATTAACCCAGTTATTAAACTGGCCAATTATTCTACAAAATTCTGCAATAAATTTATTAGACATAAGAAACTGCATTCATCAAAAAAGAATATTAAATTTTTTTCTATTAACATCTCTTTGCTTTTGTTTTCAAGTCAAAAAAAAGGCAAATTCTAATCATGTTTTATAAAAGGGGTAATTCTAACAGAATAATAAAAAGAAAACGCGCAAAAATATTTAGAAAGATAACTATACCTACCAAGTTTGATAATTATAATAGAAGATGCTCATTACTAATTTCCTGAAGGTATCGTAGACATGCAATTCTACGAAAATTAACTATAATTATAATAAATTATACCAACAAATAGAAATGCACCTGTATTACTGTGTTATATGGTAAAAAAAAATAAAGGAAAATTAAATTCAAAAATTTCTGCACGGTAGTGTTTCTTTCTGGAATAAAACTCACCAAAAATGGATCGAAATGGTCCCCTAATTCATTACATCCTTGTCTGAGGTCACCTGCATGATGAATGTGGAGCCCATGCCTACCAGGAGGGAGACCAGTAACACTCCCAGTAACGGTAACCACTCCTGCAGGTGGTTGTTTCTGGAAGAACGTGATTTCACCACTGATTCCGTCTCCAGTGACGACAGCAACAGCAGACTTTGGCCTTAAATCCTGTGCAAGAGAGTTTTTCTGTTTGTCTTTATCAGAAATCGCCCTAGAATTCCCCTCCCTCTAAAGTGCAAGATAGAGCGTAAAGAAAAAAGTGCAAAGGAAAAGGAAAATCTGAATCTCCACTCACGTAGGTGTAAGGTTCCATATAGACCTCGTACAATTCGCTCTGGATGTTGTCAATGGCTGGGAACGATTTTATAATTAGGGGATGTCCCGTACCTTGAACACCGTAAAATGTAGACGTTTCAACATCCCCCTTGGCAAAAAACGGAACCGAAGAGATAATGGAAAGCAACCACAGGACACTCAACATTTTCAATTAAATTTCTCGCGGAATATATGAATGATATGTGGTAATGTTTCTTTGAAATGCACCAGTACTAATATATGTTGCTACTTCGTTCAATGTACACGTTTAAATGAAGGTAAAATGAAATCAGCCAAGTATAAATAGCAATTAGAAGAGTACAGGTCTTCGCGTGACAAAACATGAGATTTGTGTTTATTCATTTACCTGTCAATGTTCGTGTGCATGTCCGATTGAAAATTCACTACAAATCGCACATGTATTAGTATTAAATACTTATTTACTTACACATATGTGTGCATACGCAAACCGACTATTATTTATTACATCTTAAATTTTACCGAGAAAAGAATTGATTTGTTTAAATACCTTTCTGCGATAGACATTAGTTTCCATCACTTCATGTTACCAGCGTTTCGTATTTCTTTTTGTTTTTGGAAATTGACTAATGAGAAGTAGGTGGCTAGTTCAACGAGCTAATAGGGTTCATGCTAAATAATAACAAAAAATTGTTTTTCTTCCTACAAATATTCATGTTTTTACATTTGACCAGTAAAACTGTCTATAGTTTTCAATCAAAACAGTTCACCAGCCTAAAGAACGTTATTTTTAAAAATTCTGAAAATACAGAAACAGCCTCTATAAACGTTATAGAAATATTTCATAAAAAAGTCAAGACTTCCGACCACCATTAGTAGCTGATGGGACCCAAACATGTAAATATTTTTATATTTNTGGTTTCCTTGTATCAAAGCAGGTGAATAGATACTGGTTTTTTTGATTACGAAAAACGATGCTGAAATTAAAATGACATTGTAAACAAACGGATTTCATTTAGACGCCTTTATTTATTCAATTTAAAGATATAAAAATAGATAATTTGTTATCACATTATCGACGCGGGTAGGTAGACGTATTTGAAATAGCTTTTCGTAGTTTAAACGTACTATATACTAGGTACCTACATAAAAAAACTAATTATGATACAATTTTTTTTTAGTTATCGGCAAATATTAAGTAATTAATTTTATTGGTCACTTGGAGGCTTCATGACATGACCGTTATCTTTCTTTATGAATTTACTTACTTAGTATTCCTGCCAGACTGTCCGTTTTACCTTTTTCGTCTTAATATAAACGATTTATTTATTTACAATTGTTCTTACAACAATTTTTAACGGACGTACGCTATCACACCACACGCAATCGGTTTTCCCGATGATCCGTTTCGGACGCTTTCCGCGGATCCCCCTCGTCCCAAGTCATCTTCGTTTTCCGTTATCACAATTCCTCTTCCTAATATGCTCCTAGGTCCTCCTGATAAGGAAATGAAAGCATCTTCTATTTTAAACTCGCTGGTGCCATCGTCTCCAACTTCTATGTTGCCCAAATCCCCAACATGACGAAGACTGTCTTTTGGACCTCCATGTTGTAACTGTTAATCAATTAAAGAAAAGTGATAAATTTTGTTAACGAACTGAAGTACATTAAACATCGCAAAACGGAAATGGAGCATATTAATTAAACTTTTTAAACGAAATACTACTTTTACGGGCATCTAACGACCGTCAATTTACGGATGGTGATCATCATCATCATATGGTCGTCAGTCCTAAGACTGGTTGGACACACACCTTTACTCCTTCCTATCTTGAACTAATCTTCGCATTTCCTTAAAACTACAAAACTTTTGGGTGTTTCATTCCCACCAGCCAATACCGCTGGTGGGCAGGCGGTCCCTCCAGACTACGCCGAAAGGTAGGGCGGAAGGCCCTCTTCAGCCTGCTTTCAGGAATCGTGGGAATGGGTGGGTGGTGGTTCGGGTGAGAAAGTTGAGACGGACGAAATGAAGACAGAAGAGAATTAAAGATTATCTGTGGAATATTACTGCCCCAGCATTTGCCTAAGTGATCCAACGAAACCACAGAAAAACTTGGACCAAGGCAGACGGACACGGAATCGAACCGGCGTCCTCCCGAATGCCAAGCAATGATCTATACCTCTAGGTCATGCCGCTCAGTCCTAAAACTACAACAATCCACATCCTTAACTATTTGCGAACAGTAATCTAATCTAGGTCTACCACTACCCCTCCTAACTCTTGTTTCTGCCTCTAATATGTCTCTGACTAGACCTTCATGCCTGAGAAGGTATCCTACTAACCTATCTCGCCTATTTCTTATTGACTTCCATAGAGTCCTCTGTTCTCCTATTCTTTCTAATACCTCTTCATTTCTAACCTTCTCTATCCATGGTATTCCAATTATTCGCCTGTAACACCACAATTCCAGCGCTTCTAACCTTTTCGTTTCTGCCGCGCCCACCGCTTATATTTCGCACCCATACAGCGCCGCAGTCCAAACATACACCTTTAACAACCCTTTTCGAATTTCTCAATTAACTGTTCGCCAGCATAGTGTGACTTCTTTTTATTGAAGTTAACTACTCCTTCCGTCCTGACTTATCTGACTTCCTAGATACTTAAAATCGACCACTTCGTTTTTCGTTTCGTCTCCTATCTTTATATTTGCTCTTACCCCATTTTTTCTTCCCTTGCATACCAGTATTTTGATATGAAATGCCCCTTAGGATAATTAAAAACTTAATAAGTCGTCGTATACTGTGAAGGAACAAAAACCTTCGTTTATAGAAACAAATATCCGTTGCTGAAATTCCCCGACATACTTAATGCTTCCCCAGTCGTATTAACCGGAGGGGTGTTGTATTATTCGTGTACTCACTATAGACAAGTACAATTTTAATAAGTAAAACGTCGTTTTTCAAAATGCAACATCAAAATCCCTCAAAATATAAAAGTGGTTACTCAAAATTTTGTTTTTGCGTT